TTTGAACCACTACTCTCTCAGTTAATATGTAAATGCTTTAAATAATGTTGAGAGTTTTCTGTTTACGGTGTCTGCTTTGTACTATAATAGGCTATATACTGTTCCTGTTAAACTCTGTGTGGAATCTGCCCTACAAACCATTCTATGTATGCTCCAAATCTGCTCCAGATTTCATCCTCTCAAATTTGCACAAGGCCTTTATGTAACTATCCCCTTCCTCTCCTACTTTTTTCCCTATGAGTCTTTACTGTTGCCCATATCAAGAGTAGAAACCAGATCTTACTTGGTTTGTACAATCACAGCTTCTCTTTTCTGCTCTTAGCTGAAGTTTTCTACGTGTTGTCTCTCATAGCCATACTATCTATCTCTGCTTCACTGCTACAATTAGAAATGCCTCAGACCCATGTAATCTGCCCTTTTCTCCTCTCTTTGTTAGGTAGCCTCATCATATTTTATGACTAAATCAGTATATTAAATCCTGATCCTCAGTCTTTTTTGTACACCTGATTACTGTTTATTTTCACCCGAGGTTAGAAAAGTTACTCAGCTCATTGCTATCAAGTTGAAATGGACTCAGAGCTGTCCATCCCAGTGGCTTTGCAAGGTTGTAAATTGCATGTAGATTGCCCATTTTTTTCTTCCAAGTTGCACTTACTGAGACCCTGGCTTCAGGTGACCAGCACATCTCCCTATAGACTGTACTACTGGAGCTCTCTAGCGCCAAAATGGCATCTCAAATTTAACAGAACATGTAACTTAAGGTTTTCTGTTCTTAGGTTGGTTCCTCTGATTCTTCTTCATCTTAGTAAAGGATTGAATCCTTAAGTTATTATTTTTTTCTTCATTCATTATTTCATTTACCAGTATGTCTTGTTAGCTCCACTACTCCTCACTACCTTCTGTGCTGAAGTACCGTCTTGAACCATATTTCCTTTTCTCTTAGCCTTTGTCTTCTCATTTCCTCACTTTCTTCTACATTATAGCCAGAGTGGTCTTTAAAAAGTGAAAGCAGGTATTTCACAGCTTTGCTTAAAACTCTCCGGTGACTTTCCATATACATTGGAATTAATTTTCACGGTTTTACTAGAGCCAATTTGACCTTAATCTTAATAGCTTTAGTAGTATCGCTGCCAGTTAGTCAAGGGATACGAATTCAAGGTCAGTCTTTTTGCAGGAAATGAAGAATCAGGACAGTTTCCATGTATTCAATTGATATATCTTCAATTTCCATATGTGCTTTTTCTAAGATTGATTTGCCTAAAATCTGTGGTTTCTATAGCCTCATTTCTACAATACTCATTATTACAGCTTTAAGAAAGGAATCTGCCTATGTGTGTCTAACCTTACTGGCATATTGTCCTGGGTTAAGAAAACCTCTGTGGCATCAAAGTTTTACTAATGAGAAAGTGAGTGATTTGAGAATTGAATAAAAACCCATTTTATAATCTAGGTGACTTTTACTCATCACTTTGAACAAAATGGAGGAAAGGCTTAATGGAGTTATTAGCTGGTATTGTTGTGTTGTTGTTAAGCTGGTAGATTACTGTAAATTTTGGTTATCTAGCCTAGTAATTTTTGCATATTACTTTGTTCAAAGAATTGAGGTCTTTCTAGTCACTGTTTTCTATTTAGATGAGCAAATATTTTAAAAATAATTTTAATGAAAGTTTACAGAGGCTTTGTATTTCTATTCATTCATAGCTGCACATTTTCCTCCCTGCGTCCCCCTCCCCTCTAGTTCGCTTTTCTCTTTGAAAAGCAAAAAAAAAAAATTCTTCCATTGTTATACAATCTTCCCCTACCTCTCCCCCATCCACTCCACTATGCAACTTTCATTCTGGACTCTTGTCATGATGGTAATACCTAATCATATATTCCTCCTAAACAGTTCTTTCCCTCATCTGTTTCAATGCAGTATACATTATTTATCCCCTCTTAGTTTCCTCTCAACCCCGATGTCAGTCCCACTTTACAACAGTGGTGCTATGCAGTATTTGCCCTTTTGTGACTGAGATATTTCACATAGCATAATGTCATTCAGGTTTACCCATTTTGCATAATATTTCATGAGTTCCTTGTTTTTCAATGCAGCATAGTATTCCATTGTGTGAATTTACCACAGCTTCTCTAGCCATTCATTTATTGATGGACACTTGGGTTGTTTCCAACTCTTTGCTATTGTGAACAAAGTTGCAATAAACATGGGTGTGCATATATCTGCTTGGGTGGCAGTTCTGGTTTCTTTAGGGTATATTCCCACTAGTGGAACTGCTGGGTCAAATGGTATATCTTTTTGCAACTTTTTGAGAAAGCGTCATACTGCCTTCCACAGTGGTTGCAGCATTTTACATTCACACCAACAATGAATGAGAGTTCAGTTTCTCTACAACCTCGCCAGCATTTGTTGTTTACTGTTCTGTTAAAATTTTGCTATTCTTACTGGAGTGAGATGGTATCTCATTATTGTTTTGATTTGCATCTCTCTTAGAGCTAGGGATTTTGAACATTTCTTTATGTATTTGTTCGTCATCTGACTTTCTTCTTTGGTGAAGTGTCTGTTCATATCCTGTACCCATTTTTCAGTTGGGTTGTTTACTTTTATCTTGTGATGCTCGAGTATTTTATAAATTCTAGATATAAGGCCCTTACCAGACATGTCATTACCAAATATTTTTTCCCAGTCTGTGGCTCTGCTTTTTACCCTGTTGGAGGAGTTTTTGTATGTGCATAGGGATTTGATTCTTAGAAGGTCCCGTTCATCTATTTTATCCTCTCCTGGTTGTAGGTTTTCCAGGATGATTGGAAGACTGTTCATGTTGTGAATTAGGGCTTCTATAGTTCTTCCAAGCTTTTCTCTAATGAGGTTTATAGTCCTTGGTGTTAGTCCTACGTCCTAGATCCACTTTGAGTTGTTTTTGTGTATGGAGTGTGGTGTGGATCTTGTTTGAGTTTTCTGCAGATATTTTTCCAATTGTGCCAACACCATTTCTTAAAAAGGCTGTCATTTCCCCACTTAACTGATTTCATCTTGTCAAAAATCAGTTGACCATATGTAGATAGGCTGATTTCTGGGCTCTCAATTCTATTCCATTGATTTATGTGTCTGTTATTGTACCAATACCATGCTGTTTTGACCACCATGGCAGTGTAGCAGGATTTGAAATTAGGGAGTGAGATGTCTCTTACCTTGTTTCTCTTTTTTAGAAGTGCTTTTCTTATCCTGGGCTTCTTTCCATTCCAAATGAAATTGGAGATTGCCTTTTCCATCTTGTTGAAAAATGGAATTGGTATTTGTATTGGGATTGCATTTAACGTGTAAACTGCGTTTGGTAGTATTGACATTTTCACAATATTGAGTCTTTCTACCATGAACAACGTATATTTTTCCATTTCTCCAGGTCTCTTTTTGTTTCTTGTAGTAATGTTTTGTAATTTTCTTTGAATCGATCCTTTGTGCTTCTGGTTAGATATACTCTCAAGTATTTAATCTTGTGATTAGCTATTGTGAAGGGTATTGTTTTTCTTAGCTCCAGCTCAGTATTCTCTTTGTCACTAGAGAGAAATCCAGTTGATTTTTGTGTGTTTATCTTGTATCCTGCCACTTTGCTGAATTGGTCAACTATGTCCAGCAGTTTTCTTGCTGAGTCTTTAGGGTTTTCTAAGTATACTATTATATTATCTGCATATAGAGATAATTTTACCTCCTCTTTGCCAATTTGGATACCTTTTATTTTCTTCTCCTGGCGTCCACTTCTGTAATAGCTTGCCTCCGGAAACCCTATGAACCTGGAGAGAGGATGAAAGATACCCAAGGGTCTCCTTCATAGGGTCGCTATGAGTCACCTGTGACTTGACAGCATTTAACAACAAGAACAACATTGCTATCGCTAAGACTTCTAATACAATATTGAATAGGAGAGGTGATAGTGGACATCCTTACCAAGTTCCTGTTCTCAAAGGGAATGCCTTCAAGTCTCTTTCCATTGAGAACAATGTTAGCTATCAGGTTTGTGTATATACTTTTTACTATGTTGAAGAAATTCCCCTCTAATCCTATTTTGTTGGGTGTTTTAATCAGGAAAGGGTGTTGGATTTTGTCGAAGGCCTTTTCTGCATCAGTTGATAGGATCATGTGATTCTTGTTCTTTGCTTTGTTTATGTGATGAATTACATTGCTTGTTTTTCTTATGTTGAACCATCCATGCATACTTGTTATGAATCCTACTTGGTCATGGTGAATTATTTTTTTTTATGTATCGTTGGATTCTGTTGGCCAGGATTTTATTTAGGATTTTTGCATCAGTGTTCATGAGAGATATTGGTGTGTCGTTTTCTATTTTGGTGGTGTCTTTACCTGGCTTTGGTATCAAGGATATGTTTGCTTCATAGAATGAATCTTAGAGAATTCCATCTTTTTCTGTTTTCTGAAATAGTTTTATGTAGTATTGGTGACAGTTTTTCTCTGAATGTTTAATAAAATTCACTTGTAAAACCGTCCGGTCCATGGATTTTTTTAACACCTACATGAAAAAGAAAATAGATGACATTGTAAGAATCATGGCATAGAAAGATGAGTGCAAGGAAGAGAAAGTAACATTTCTTGTTCTTAAAGGAGAGCTTTTTTTTTAAAAGTTTTCTTTATAAGTTTATGAAATGGTTGGAGGTAGATATCAAATGATTTGGTATTTAAAATCCATTGGATTTGTTTGTAGGTAATAAATATTCTAAAATATCAATATTTGTAGATTACCAGAGTAGAAATTTGTGGCTACTTATATTTGGAAGAATTTCAGTTATCAATTTAAAAATGCTCTAGAAGCTTATTTTAAGAATTCTTGTAGGAAATGTAAAGGAAGAGATTCTGAAAACCACAAGAATAGACTACATTTCCCTTCACATTTGTGTTTCTTAATTGACTTTTGCTACTTGATGTAACCTTATTGTAATCCTACCATTTAATAATTGCACTCATTTTTTAAATTTGTTTTTTAAATACGCAGGTTCAGTATCTGTACCGAGTGTTCTGCCGGCTACGTCCTGGTATTTCTCTTCTTGCCCTCCACGGTCGACAGCAGCAGATGAGAAGAATGGAAGTTTATAATGAATTTGTCCGCAAGAGAGCTGCAATACTCTTTGCTACAGATATTGCAGCCAGAGGACTGGGTAAGCAAACATTTTATGAGGAAATATTCTGTGATAATGAGAAATATAATTTACTTTTAAATAGATAGGGTGTTGGGTGTTCTTTTTTTTTTTTAAAAGAAAATTTTTAATAGGGGTGATTAACTTAAAGATATGCCTTGGGATCTGGATCTGAGAAAATTTCCTTAATATCTTCATCTTTTGTGATCTTGCAATTGCTTGTGACAATTACTGAGTTGTAGAATCCTGAACTGTGTACAAAGTTTATTTACAAAGTTAGAATACATTCTTTTTCACACCAGTTTTTTCTTTTTTTTTCGGCACCCTCATATCAAATTGTGTGACCCTATGATTTACCCCCCTGCCCATTTTCATGCCTCTGATTCCACTCTCTGCCGTCCACCCGCTCCTCATACACATTCTATAATAGTGGTTTTATGCAGTATTTGTCCTTATGGACTAAGTTAGTTCAGTCAGCACATACTCTCCTGTCCCTCCCAAGTTAGGTATTAATTTACAAAATCATTGCTTCTGTGTGGTGTGTAGTATTCCATCATGTGAATGTGTAGACTTTTATTTTTGAGTTCTTTACTTCTAGTCCAACATGAACTTAGGGAAGTCTACAAATAAGAACGGGGGAAAAATGTGTTTTCCATAACTTTTAACTGAAATTTGGCTTTTTGTTTGTAAAAATATTTTATTATTATTGTGACTATACAGAACAGAATATATACAAATTCAATAGGTGCTACAGTATAGTTTTTGACGATGTACGTACAAGATAGGCAACAATTTTTGCCCTCCTCTTCTGGATTGTTCCTCCCCAGTTGCCCATACTCACTGTGCCAATAGGATTCTTATGTAATCTCTTTACATGCTCTTGTTACATTGGTTCCTGTAGGTAATTCTTAATCAAGGCAGATCCTTTTTTATTTAATCTAACGTATATGGTTTTAAGAAGATCAGAGAATATTTTTGGTTCAAGATTTAAAGATTGTCTCAAGTGTAATAGTTTCAGGGATTCATCCAGCTCCTATTACAATTTTACCTTTTAATTATTAATGTAAGCAGTGTGGTAGAATTGGCCATGCTTATGATTTTGGCTGCAATTGCAGTTAGAGATTTTTCCCCCCATTATATTTTTGGCAGGAATTTTGAAGTATTGTTTACATTGATTAGGATTTTGATATTGTGGTATTTTTTTTTTAATACCGACAGTGAGATCATGCTATTTAAAGTGTTAGTAGAAATTAAATGTTTTATTATATGTTGTTGTTGTTGTGTACCATAAAGTCAGAACTAACCCATAGCTGACCCTTCAGAGGGTTTTCAGAGGCAATTAATCCCATGGGACGAGATTGCCCATCCTTCTCCTGCAGAGAAGCTCGTGGATTCGAACCTTGTGCCTTCGGGATTGCAACACAGCCTCTTACCACTAGGCCACCAGTGCTCTCTGACATTCATTTAAAAAGTGACTATCTGCATTTTATTATATTTTTATTTTGTGATATTATATATTTTATTTTACATATTTAAAAAATATTCTAGGGAAAAATATTCTAAGAAGGGGTTCATAGGCTTCACTTAGAGCATAAAAAATGTTGAGAACTTCACTGGCAGCCTGGTAGTTATACTGCTATTTTAAAATTACCTGATTCTACCAGCTGCTTCATGGGAGAAAGATGAGCAGTATCCTCCTTCCTATGTGTTTCACAGACTCTGAAAGCTTCTGGGGAGTCAGCTATAACTTGGTTCCTCCTTGACAGCTATGAGTTATTTGTTGAGTACACATAATAGCTATATTTGCAGTATACTGTAGTCTATATAGCAAGTTGTGCTTTTGACTCAAAGACCAAGCATCTCTTGAGGTTTGAATCTACCATCTACTCTATGGGAAAAGATGGACAGTCTCCTCTTACTACGTTTTGTAGCCTCAGAAACCCAGGGGTTTCTCTGAGTTAGGATCAACTTGTAGTGAGTGAGTTTGAGTTTTATAGTCCATTAAAGGAATCGTACTGGACTTGATGGTACTTAACAACAATGACAACATCAGCAATAGGTAGTATGATAGTTATATGTTACGCTGTTTACTGAAAGGTCGGCAATTCAAATCCACCAGCTGCTCCTTGGGAGAAAAGTGACCATTCTATAAAGATTTACATCTTGGGAACCCTGATGGAGGGCAGACATGAGTTAGGATCTGCTCCACAGCAGTGGATTTGAATGGCCATCTGATGAAGGAGCCTGTGTGGCATATGTCAGGCTGCTGACCACCCGAAAGGTCACCATTTCAAATCTACTAGCTGTTTCTAGGGGGAAAGATGGTCAGTCTCCTCCTGTCACGATTTACAAGCTTGGAACCTGATGTAGGGTTGCTGTGATTGTGCATTGATTTTGATTTGAGAGCAGTAGGTGGTAGTGGGTTAAGTGTGTTTCATAATATTATTAAAACATTTGAATTAGTGTGAGAATTTCCACAGTGTGCCATGCGGACACAAAATGAGCGTGTGCTTGGTTCAGTGTGGTCACAACCTTCTATTTGTAAAAAACATAGTCTCTGTGAAGTGTAGTAAATCAGAGTTCAATGCCTATAGTTTTATCCTGCTTGTTTTTAACATTTACATAAATGATAGCATTGTACATACTAATCTATGACTTGCTTCTCGTGTCTTTCTATGTTGATGCATAAAGATCTAATTTATTTACATAGAATTTCCCAGAGAGCTAATGTATTTAGTTATTTATCATCCATTCTCATTATAATAGAGATTAAATTTTCAGTTTCTTTTCTAGTCTAAAAACGACTCAGTGACTGTCTTGAGACTCTTGTTTTGGATATCCATTCATGAATTTCTTTAGTGTACACTATTATTTTACTATTTTTTTTTTAAATTTTAATTTTATTCCCATTTTTCTTCCTGTCTCTTTTAAGAAGGTGTCTCACCTCTGATTAACCCTGTGACGTTCTGATCCTTCCCTCCCTCCTGCCCTTTGTTGCCCATCTCTTTGTCTGTCTGTCCTACTTGGAGAGTTTCTTAGATGTTGTTTGACCTGCTACTCAAGTTTTCATTATTTAAGTCCTTAGAGCTTCTCCTTGTTTTTTTTTTTTATGGCTTCTTGGTCTTGTTTGGTGGATGCCTGGTTCTTTTGTTGCTTATGACACTCTGTGTGTTTTCTAAGTTCACGTCTTTCTGCATTGTTTCTGTTTCTGCTGAGTTCTATTTTCATTCTCTGTATTATCTTTGTTTTTCTTGTATGAAGCTTTTCTCAAATGTCTGCAGTTGGATGCCATTTTATATTGAAGAATGAGACACCATAAAGCTTATGTCAAGTAATTTGGACATGAATGGAACTTGCTGACTGGTGGGCTTCATTGTAAGGAAGTTTGGACAGGAATGATCATTTTGTGAGGAACTCCATTGTCCAAGTCTTTTCTTTTTTGAACATTCAGTTTCTCCAGAGAAGAATACTTTGATATTATAAGCAGAGGGATTACGCTTACTGTTGGCTTGAGGGAGCCTGTTTACCAAGTCAGGGAGCTTAAGTGGTGCAAACAGTTAAGCACTTGACTGCTCTCAGAAACGTTGGTGGGGAAAAGGTTGGCAATCAGCTTCTTGTAAAGGTCGCAGCTAAGCAATCCTTGTGAGGCAGTGTACTTGTCACTAGGGTTAGAGTCAGAATTGACTTGAAGGCACCTGACAACAGTAGCAGTAAAGAAATCATCTCAGAGCCCTTCCTGGCAGTGAACAGACTTATATTCATGATCCCTGTTTTCACCCTGACTCTGCTGTCAACCTCCTCTCTGTCTGGAGTCTCACCTCTGAACCCTCACTCATTTGAGACTTTAAGTCTGTGTTAAGCTATTCAGATACACAAGGTAAGAGCGGTCCCCTGAAAGTCTAGCTGCTCGTTTCATCTTCTCTTTTATTATACTCCTAATACATTACATGCCTTGCCTCTGTGGTACCCGGATAATTCAAGCTGAGAGAGAGTAAGAGACCAAAATTCCAAGTATCTCTTTTGTTTTTCTTGCCTCCGCTAAACTCCAAGCCTTTAGAATAGATTTTATGACTTTGTCATAGTTCTGATAGTCATAGGTATCCTTCAATACCTTCTTTATTGTGGATGAGGGTCACCAAACCTTGTTCTGTATCATAGAAATTGATCCAAAATCCTGGCAGCAAAATCCATGAATAATTAAATGTAATTCTTTTAAGAAAAAGAATAGGATTCTCTGGAAAAGAATGGAAACTGCTCTCCTTAGAAATATGGGTGGACTAATTACTGTTAGGGAGCTCTGGTGGCCTAGTGGAAAGAAGCAGTGCTGCAATCTTGAAGGTACATGGTTTGAGTCCACCAGCTGCTCTATGAGAGAAAGATGGTCTGTTTCCTCGAACTGCCTCTGAAATCCTGCCAGAGGGTCAGCTATGGGTCGGATCTGACTTGATGGCACTTGACAACAGTAAAAGTTACTGTTTGGGAACTCTGGTGGCTTGGTGAACAGGAAGTTGTACCACCAGCTAAAGACAGGCATTTCAAATCGAACAGCTACGACATAGGGAAAAGATGAGCAATGCCTTTCCATGCTATTTACAGCGTCTGCGAAGCTGCGGAGGACCAGCCATGAGTCAGTTCTGACTTGTTAATGAGTTGAGTGGAATTCTTGCTAGGAAATGGAAGGAGGACTTGGAATACTCATCAGTTTGAAAAGAGATGGGAGTAGCAGGGAAAATAAACTTTGATTTTAATTTCTAAGTTAGTTTTCATAGTTCACCAGGAGCCAATGACAAGTGGTTCTTTTTGGTTATTAAATATCAGGGTATTTCATTATCTGTCTGACACAAAACAGTCTGTCTCCTCTGTGTCAGATGTGAAATAATCATCACATTCAAACACTGTCATTAATTTTGGTTCGCTTTGCCAAAGGACAGAAGTGTTTATCATCTCTAGGTACTTGGACTTAATTTTATTTTTAATAGAGTTCACAGATGATCTCTATCAGTTTGTTGTGACTGAAAGCCCTGGTGAACGTGATTGTAAAAACAAAAATAGTCTGGCAGGGTGGATCAGAGTGCTGGTTTCCTGACTTGACCATTCTTTCTGGACAGATTTCCCAGCTGTGAATTGGGTTCTTCAGTTTGATTGTCCAGAAGATGCCAACACGTATATCCACAGAGCCGGCCGAACTGCCAGGTAGGTGTCCTCTGGCTCGCTATTTTGCCTTTGGTTCTTCAGTAACAACGTTTGCTTCCTCATGTGCTGACAGATGCAGAATGCAGGCTTGCAGATAAGCAGAGTGCAGGTTTGGCAAGATCGGCGACATCATGGCTGACACTTGATGATCAGGATTGATAAAAGTCCCTGATAAGTTTTAGAGCATTATTGTATTTTGTTTTGTTTTATTTTGGCTTTCTAATCTTACTAATCTTCTCACCAGACCTTCTCACAGTACATCACTTTATTGAATCCTAGTGGACCCCTCATTGAAGCACAGGGCTGTTATTTTGCTGTTGACAGACAAAGACACCAAGTCTTAGATAAAGACTTGTCCGGCAAATCTCCAAATGATTCTTTAACCTAGGAGTGTGAATCCTCTTGTTGAGATACTGTGGTCTTAACTTCTGTGCTGAGCAAGACTTCGTAAGAGGCAAAGTGGGTTTGCATCATAGATTTTTCTTCTGTTTCTAGTGCAGCTATTAGAAATAACTGCAGTAAGCGAGTCTCAGATGTTTCCTCTGCTCTTCCATACCCTCCCCATCTTGTTGTTGTTGTTAGGTGCTGTTGAATCTAGTACAACTCATAGTGACCGTATGAACAAAAGATCTGAACCCTGTTCTATCCTGCACCATCCTCACACTACCTGACTCATAAGAGCCCATTGCTGCAGTCACTGTATGAATCCACCTGGTTGAAGGTCGTCCTCTCCTTCGCCGATCCTCCACCCTTCCCAGCATCATGTCCCTGTCTAAGGAATAGCCCCTCCTAACAGCATGTCCAAGGTATGTGAGTTGAAGCCTCATCATTCCTGCCTTGGAAGAGCACTCTGGGTGCACCTTCAAGATATTTGTTCTCTTGGCTGTCCATGAGACTTTCCGTGCTCTTCTCCAACACCACAGCTCAAAAGTGGCAACTCTTTTTCTGTCATCCTTATTCATATAATCTCCCATACCCTCCCCATAGAAAATGCCTTATTGGTCCAGTGAATTACTGGTAGCTCAGGGGTAGAATTTTCACTTTCTGTGTGTGAGACCTGGTTTCATTTCCCATTCATTGTACCCATATGCAGCAACCCCCCCATCTTCACTGGAAGCTTATATGATGTTCTGAGACTGATAGGGGTCAGTGAAACTTCCAGACTAAGGGAGACTAGATTTCAAGACCATTTCTGAAAAATCCACCAGTGGAAACCTTATTGATCACATTGGTCTAATTCATAGTTGATCATGGGGTGGCCCAGGGATGAGCAGCGTTTCATTTCATTGTAAATAGAATTGACACAAGTTAGGGGCCAACTTAATTACAGCTAGCAAGAGCAAAAGTGTATTTCCCTAATATCTGTGCTATCTGGAAAAGATTGTTGTTGTTATTAAGTGCTGTCGAGTCATAGATGACTCATAGCGACTCTATGAATGAAAGGCCTGAGCACTGTTCATAGAGTTTCCAGAGGCAAGCCATTTTGGAAGTGGATGCCACTCCCGCTTCCAAGCTTGTTTTAATCAGGAGGCTCCACCACACACTGTCCACCATGGGTAACTATTTTCTCATTTGGCATATCAGTGTTGCGGTGTTTAGCATCACAGCAGCCATGAATTACCTCTGTACAGCAATGCACAGACCAGTACTATACCATTTAGAAGAATGTTTGACAAAAACCAATTTAAACCAGGCCCGAGGACCGCACAGTAGTAGTTGTTTGGGTCCAGATGACATGGATCAGTGTCTGAATAAAGTAAAAGATAATGACCTCCAGTGGTATCAAGGTTGCATTATGATGATTAAAGAATAATATAATTTACACAGTGTATATTTCTTGAGTTTGCTTATATGCTAATCCTGGTGCTAGATACTAGAAGCTATGGCCAGGTGATAAGGACCTGAGACTAGGAGACTTTAACATTATGCTGTGCAGAAGAGTTAACATAACCAGCCTGAGATGGTTTTTTTATAAAGGCCTACTTTGAAGACTGGAGTCTGGGAATGTGACTGGTAAGCATTTCCCTCTAGTGTTACATGTTTTCTCTGAATGATAAGGGTAGCTCATGGTAGTTGGAGTTTGTAAACACTGAGTTTTATTCTGAATAGTGCATTCATGCCAGGAGCCTGGAATTTTACTACATGATAGGTAAAGGATGCTTGCCTGATTTTCCCCTAATAAAACGTTGTTTGCTGAGTCTCCATTGGCCTTTGCTGTGCAGAAGCATTGCATACAAGCTACTGTGTGTTGATGCTAATCGAGTGTGCTTTGTGCAGCAGGGAAGGCTTCAGAGTTACATGGATGCCTCTGGATTCCATCTTAGTTTACTTCCCTTATGATCTGACTGTGTGTTATTCTTCCACTACTCTAGTAAATCTTAGCCCTCCTTAAAACTGAACACAGATTCCCCTGAATTCTTCTCCTGTGAAGCTCTGAATGTGAGGACAGTTTTGGGAGCTTCTGACTGTCTTGTTTAGTCCAGCTGTCCTCAGCATGTTATTTCTCAGCCCGAGTGTCCTCATCTTTAAAATGAGAGACCTTGGTGAAGAGGTGATTGCTGAGTTATCTACCTACTTGGAAGTTCTTTGTAGTATATGCTCCTTCCCCCCAGTCTTTTGAGTATATGTTTCTTCTTTTTAACTCTTAATTTTTATAAGAAGCGTTTATTTCCTGCTCATCTACCATTCTGCTTCTTTTCCGTTCCCTCCTGCCCTGACAGACACTGACCTTCCTTTTTGCTAGCTTAGTATTAACAGTTAAGGATTTCTTTTAATACAATTTTTGTCTACAAAGACTTTTCAGAACCTTCTCATATCAAATTGTTGCCTAGCATAACTATGAGTTAAAGCACAACCCAGTATGACTTTGGGGTTCATTATGATAGTGCAAGATCGGAAATAAAAGTTATTTATTTGGATAAGTTTGATTCCAATTTAGTCTATGAGTCATTTTTAAGTATTAGTTATCATAAAAATGTACGTCTTTAAATTGCATGCATATTTTGATCATTAAGGAAGACAGAACAGAACTCTAAATTAATGAAAATGAATAATTATTTCAAAATAGGGTTTATGTACTAGAAGGTTAAAAAAGAAAATTCTTTTTATTGTGACTATGTTTGTTCTGTAGAATCTTGAACAGACAATAGATTCAGAACTGTGTTCTCTGTATGATGTCATTGTGCTTGTGGAGAAACTTGCTTTTAGAATGGGAGCATTTTGCCCTTTTTTTAGGATATAAGTGAAATGTGACATGGGTAGACTAAGTGCCTTGTTTTCTGTTTTAAACATGAGTGCATGGTGCACCTGTGATCTTCATTGTATTAGTATATGAGTTCATGTTTGATTTGTCTCTCATACTGAAATATGCTAGGTAGTTATTAGTGGTAGTTGATAGAATGAATATTTCTCCTCCTCACTAAATATGATGTCATTAAGCGCCGTTGAGTATGACTCATATAAACAGCAGATCTGAGCTCTCTCCTATCTTGGGCCATCCTTGACACACTTGAGTCCATTGCCACAGGAAATCTCGTTAAGGATCCTCCTCTCCTCCTTTGGCCTCGGCCTTTCTAAGCATGATGTCCCTTTGCAAAGAATAACCTCTCTTAACAACATGTCCAAAATATGTGAGACAAAGTTTCACTATCTTTGCCTCCAAAGAACACTCAGGTTGCACTTTCTCCTATACGCATCTGTTTGTTATTTTGATAGTCCATAGGATATAAAACAGTCTTCTTCAACACCACAACTCAGATGGATCAGGTATCTTTCTGTCATCCGTATTCATTGTCCACCTCTCAGATGCATAGCAGGTGATTAGAAAGACTTCTTGAATAAGGTACACCTTAGTGTTTAAAGTGGCATCATTACTCTTCAGGACTTTTGAAAGATCCCTGACAACGTTTTCCCAATGCTCTACGTGTCTTGATTTCCTGACTGCTGTCACGGGTGGTGTTGATTATGGATCCTAGCAAGATGAAATTGTTGACAATGTCAGACTTTGTCCCATCTATCTTGATGTTGCCTATTGGTCCAGTGGTGAGGATTTTTGTTAGTAAATGTGTGGTAGGTATAGATTTGTGTACTCATGTAGTAAGGATGAATCTGTACAGCTGTGTACACTTTTGCATTTTGTGGTCCTATGGATTTCTGGATAGCTAAGGTTGAATATAGCATTTTATTACTGTTGCACTAGCATATTGCAGGTATTTGGATGTGCCAGTGATGTAAACATGGAGATGGAAAATGGGTCCTTTCAAGAATGTGTCGGTCATACAGTTTGATGGATGTTTTGTAAATAAGCCAGCAAAAGAAAAAAAGAATGCATATATTAGTATTTTTCACTGCTCTTATGGGAGCTCTGGTGGCATAGGGAGCTGTGCTGCTGACCCAAAGACAGTGGCTCTCCAGTGGTTCAAGTTCACCAGCGGCAACCTGAAAGTTGGCAGTCTTCTCCTTTGCGATCTGCAGCCTCCTGAAAACTTACTGGAGGGTCAGCACTGTGTTGATTTCTACTTGACAGCAATGGATTTTGAGTCTTATATGAAGATCATTGGCTGTTACACTGTTTCAGAATAAGTCCCAAGAAGGGAGAAGTATTTCAGTATGATGAAAGTCACGCACGCAAGTGTCAAGGACTTTCGTTCATAGGGTTGCTATAAGTCTCCTACAACTCGATGGCACTTAACAACACAGAGAGAGACCAGTTGGCCTAGTGGACCGAAAGCGATGTTACCAAGCCAAAGGTGGGTGACTCTAATCTGCAGCCCTAAGGCTTGTTTTTCATTGATTTTGTTCAAACAGTCTTCTAGGTCGTATAGCTCTGGTGTGTCCACTTGCCATACAGAGGCAACCTATGGTCGTTGTGAAGCTGAACACCGTGACACAGATGTGTCAAATGTGATAACGGTTACCCACAGTGGACACTGTTCCCTGGTTGAAACAAGCTTAAAAGCAGGAGGGGCATCCACTTCCGTAAATAGCTTGCCTACGGAAAC